TGAAACTAGACCTAGCATCCTCTCTCAGATGGCCTCTGGGACAACTTCAAAGTACCACAAGGTGACTTGTTGCTTAACAAGAGCCGTATCACTCAAATTAACTGGAGAAAAATTGATGCCCTGTGCTACAGCCAGCCTCCTCGTGTAAACTCACCTGAATGGTGACCCATCACGATGGACCCCTCTTGACAGCTCTCCTCCTAGTAAGATCAAACCCTTACAGCCAGCAGAGGAACAACTACAATGCAGTGTTCAAGCTCCAAGCTGCATCCCAGAGCCACAGTGCACAACAAACAACACAGTACAGTTTGCAGCAAGACCCTTCTTTGCAAGTTTCCATGAGCTTCCATTTAATAATACATTCCACAGACCTCCTAAATCAAGTACATTCTTATGGAGAAATTCAGTCACCCATTTCCATTACTGATCATCATGACTAATCACAGTAATAGCTTTAAAACAAGGAGGGGGGAACAGCCAAATGCACCTCATGATTAAGGTTTTGTCTGCATTTTCAATTTCAGGACTACTTGCATCTCAGCGCTGCTCCTGTCCCAAACATCCCTTAAGGCTCTGCTGCCCACACAGCCACTCCTCACCTTCCTTAATCACACACTTACCAGACCTTCCTCCCCACGCTTAACAGCATGTCCACAGTGCTTCTGTTTTCCAGCTACTGCTTTCAGAAGTGTGGCTCTCAGTGAAACCTTTGTTTAATATTAAAGCCCTTTTCAAATATTTAATATGAAATTAATTTGAATCCAATTGGGGAGGAACAAGGAGGATATGCCTGTTTAGGAAAATACTATTCCAGACAAGCAAAAGACACTGAATAAAGATCTTTAAAAAGATCAACCCAGAAATTCTTCCTTAAACTGAAAGAAACACAAGGATGAGAAATTTGTGATCCAACTTGTGGTTGGATCACAGGCAAAGGAGACCAGGACCTTGATAACAACATTCCAACCCCAAGTATTTGTTTTCTTTCTACTGCTGTAACACTCCATGACATAACTTCATAGGCAATTTTCCACAAATCTGTTATACAAAAATGTACGCTCTGAATAATGAACTGACATATTAGAGGTTATTAACATCTCCTGGCAAAAAAAACTCTCCTCAGAAATTGAGAAATTCCAAAGGGCAAGCCTAGCTAACCAGGGGGGCATCTCGGGAAAGCTAAACCCACTACCTATCTGAAGTACTTATCACAACAACATTCTTGTAAAAAATTCCACAGCACATGATTCCAACACAAGCTGTCACCCAGAAAATGCTGGTAATGATGAAACAAATAGATGAAAGACTACTGGTTAATTGAGTGTTTAAATTGGTCATTCTGCCTCCTGTGACCTGTATCAAAAGCCCTTCTTAAAAGTCCAGGAGTTAAACTCATATAGATATTATGTCAGATTGGCTATGTTAGAATATTTATGTTTTAAGCAGTAATGATATGTATTAAAATCTCAGTAGCTACAGGCAATGAATCTGATCTTTACTGCAGCTTCCACAGCAGATTAATTACGTGAATTCAGTTAACATACACAAGGTTAAAACTTCCATTACTCCAAAACACAACCCTGGAAAGTACGTGCAGCCTCTTGATCTCCTCACAGTACTGGTATCAGCACCAAGAGGACAGAACTTCTTAAGAGGATGGGACTGTTGACGGCACTGACCTAAGACATCAACCTGTACCGCCCAGCAGCCAAAAGCCTGCCTAGGTCAGTGCTCTCCCTCTGCAGGATGTGGTACTTTGCTGTTCTCTGCGTGGAAGAGGCCGGATGGGTCCCTGCTCCCAAGGGTTAGGAATATGACAAGAGAGGGATGCTGAGCTACTCCCTGCTCTTTCCTAGTGATTCCAGACCACAGTCCAGGTGCACTGTCAGCAAGGTACAGAGGAAGTTTAGCTGCTATGGGCTGCTAGACCTACTCTCCAAGGCTGTTCCCAGTGGGTCTGCTCTGGATCTCACCCATAGTTTACCTGTTATTTCACACCTGCACATCCCTTGATTCTCTACAAACTAATGAACTCTGCAAAGTGCCTCATTCACCGTGTACCTTGCCACAGTTAAACTTAATAGCAAGTCAGCTTGTTTGAGAGCATTTGGAAGGAAGACAGCTTGGCAGAGACTTCTATCATGGGTTATTTCCCAGATTCCCCAAACCAGGGGGAAGGGGAGGAAAGCTGCTTATCTTCTTTCTCCCAATTCTCCAAATGCAAAGGTGTCTTTTCTTGTGTCCCCTTGAGAAGACTGAATCCACACTGCTGGTTCTGCACAGCCACTAACTGGCCCAGGGAATATTTCTTCTACAACCACAACAGTACCACAGCTGCCTTCAGCCAGTTTCCAAATAAAGAGAGAAAAAGCTCACCTTCCTTGCACAACGGATGGACATGTTCATTTTAAGAATTCATACTCAATTGTCATGTAAGCAACAACTCAAAGCAGAAGCTTTGACCAGCTAACATGGAAAAAAGATTTGGTTGTGGAAAGATTCCTCTTTCCATAGAGAGTAAGAGAGACTCTTTCATTCCACCTTCAACAAATTACAAATCGGCTTGCCGCTCTCGAAAGCGCTGTACCAATCCAAGTGCTCCCACAAAACAACACCAGAACATCTGCATCTTTGTAGTACTGAAGTAATGAGTTTGACACACTCAGCTGAGTCTGCCATACTGAACAAGTTTCCTCTCCATCAACATTGCAAGCTGCTGTTTTGCAGATCAGAACAGTCAGCTTCCCCAGATAAGGCAGCTCCTTCCTGGAAATGGAAGATAGAGCTGCCTTATCTCAGGAAAGGGAAGATAAAAGGTCACTCTTCACTAAGTGGCAAAGTTCTCACCTTGAAAGCTTTGCCCCTTGATTGGCATGGAACAACCAAGGTCATGGAACTTTTAATCAGACGCCTGCATAATTACTAAATCATTATTAATTATATCAGAGAGCCGAGACCTCAGAGGAAAGGCAAAGCAAACAAAGAGCCCAATGAAGCCTCCTCTGTTGTTGGAAAAAATTGGTAATTAAAAGTCATGAGTGCACCAAAGAGCAAGGGAACAGCATCACAGTCACTGTTCAGGACTCAGGAGTGACTTGCATACAAAACAGCAAGCTTGTCTCCCTGGGGAAATTACAGGGTACTGCATTACAAAGCAGTGAGTACGATGAAAAGAAAAAAAAAAGACAGAGAAAGAACCACTCCTGTTTTATCAATAGCTTTATTTGCCCCACAGATAGGGACAGCACTACCAACCAGTCCCAAGTTTGAGAGGTGCCTTCCACATGTTTCTGGCAGCTCTAGAAAGCCTTCTCCCAGCCTTATATCATTGTCATGGTTTAACCTCAGTTGGCAACTGAGCACCACACCACCGCTCGCTCACTCCCCCGCCCCGGTGGGATGGAGGAGAGAATCAGAAGAGTAAAAGTAGAGAAAACTCGTGGGTTGAGATAAAAACAGTTTAATAATTGAAATAAAATAAAATAATAATAATAATAATAATAATAATA